TGTTTTCGTTGACATGTGTTCATTATTTATCTATATTATTTGTTATCATGTTTAGGAACCATGACATTTTAGTGAAGGAAGCAGATTCTAGTTGATAGTGATCCATGACTAGGCCCACGGTTGAGCAAGCATGTGTTCAGAAGATTAATTGCAAAATTTAATAGAGTAAACGTTTTATCATTTGTATGTGTTTACAAACTCAATCGATTTTAAAACAGCGCAAGAAGAGCAAAGAGCAAACAACAGAACAAACACAGCTTTGACAAAGATTAATCCATATTAATTTATACAGTGAACACACTCAGAGGAATTGGAGAAACTGAGGAGGAGTTTCAACATCTGGAAAAGATCCGGGCAGCAACGGTAAAAAAAAAAAAAAAAAACTCTCCAAAACAACATTTCCTCACTAAAGCTCTCATCTTTGACAAATTCCATCATTTATTTTAATTATTATATTGAATTTATTACTGAACGATGGCTTGTTAGATACAGAGAGAGCATGAGCTAATTGAATAGAATATCTTTGTCATTGTACAAGTAACGTTACAATAAGATTTATTTTGAAACTTCCAAATTGATAGTAAAGCTTAAGAATACAAATAATAAGTGCAAATAGCTCAGATGTGCAATGCAGCATTAAAACCTAAACAGTACAAACAGAAAACATAATGAAATAAAACGGTAGGGGGTGAATTTATTATTCCATGTACATTTGAGGTTAATGTGTGTACTGGGCTACTTTTTAGTTACAACAGCTATCACTGTGTTGTTATGAAGTCAGTTGTGCCAGACAATTTTGGAGGCAGAGACAGATTGTGGGGGGCACTAATAGGGAAAAACTTAAACTGTTGGAATAAAGAGTTTTAAAGGGTTAGTGATGGAAAACTTGCAGGTCAATGGGCATCAGTGTTTAAGGTTGGTAAACTCTTGTACACAGACGCATATAATACTACCCGCCTGACATTGGCATGTGTTATTCAGGTGTCAAGAGTTGAAGGAAGAAACCACAAAGACTACAAATCTTGCCACATTAATCAAACATTGTGGTGTCAAAACTCAATAAGTTACAACGCAAATCAGAAATGTAAAAAATAATTCCTTTAATGGTCATTTTGAAATGACAAACTTTGTCCGCAATGGTTAACCACCTCAATCTGTATTATATTTTACGGTTTTAAAAAAATTCCCTCATGTCCAAATTCAACATGAAGGGGGGTGGTCCGCTGCAGAAAGAGGCATTTGAAAAGACTGCACTGTTCTCGGTCATCAGAGGTATGTGTATAAAACACACAACATTTACCAGAGAGCTTTTCTCTTTTTTAACACACTGAATGGTGATACACTATATATATCTTTGTAATTAAAGTAAAAAATTATGTCAAGCTTTTCTTTGCGTAATTAAAGTAAAAAATTATGTCAAGCTTTTCTTTTCTACAGTGGGAATCCCCGATGAACCAGCTAAGAGCAAGCTGGATTTGTGGTTCCTTCACTTGGGCGGGATCGCCTGTCTCAGGCGGATGGCTCGGTATGGCACCCCAACCCCGAATGGTGGAAACTTCAGGTGTGGATGGTGTGCGGGAACCGGTAAACCCGGGCTCTTTGTCTCGCCGCGAGATGCACACGATTACGGAGGCGCGAGATGCTTCTATGAGACGCCTGTATGCCTGTAAATGGGCAGTGTTTGAGAGATGGTGTAAATCGAATGGTCAGGACCCGGAAAACTGCCCCGTGTCTGACATTCTGAATTTTTTGCAACAATGAATGAACGCCGCAGTTTGCCCTCCACTCTTAAGGTTTATGTTGCAGCTATCTCAGCCTTTCACGCTGCTATTGATGGCCGCTCAGTGGGAAAACACGATCTAGTGATCAAATTTTTGAGAGGTGTGAGAAGACTAAGACCCTCTCACCCTCCTACAGTGCCATCCTGGGATCTGGCTCTGGTGCTGGGGGCGCTAGCCCTCCCGCCCTTCGAGCCACTTCAGACTGTCGGCTTGAGGGAGCTCTCGCTTAAAACCGTGCTGCTGCTCGCTCTTGCTTTGGTCAAGCGCGTGGGCGATTTGCAAGCACTCTCTGTGAATGCGGACTGCATGCAGTTTGGACCAGGTGATTGTAACGTCACGCTCAAGCCAAGATTGGGCTACGTGCCTAATTTGCTCTCGACACCGTTCAGAGTGCAAGTGGTGGTGCTTTCTGCTTTCACTTCAGAGTCGGAGACTTCATCGGATGCCGCCCCGAATCAGGTGCTGTGTCCGGTGCGGGCTTTGCTAGTTTACATCGACCACACAGCTCAGTTTCGGCAATCTGAGCAGCTATTTGTATGCTTCGGAGGCAGCACCAATGGGCAGCCTGTCTCCAAACAACGGCTATCACATTGGGTGGTCGACGCTATTGCCTTGACATATTCTAGCCTGGGAAGGGAATGTCCTATTGGTGTCAGAGCCCATTCGACGAGGGCGGTTGCCTCCTCTTGGGCATGGACTAAGGGCATTTCTATCAAAGATGTTTGTATGGCGGCTGGATGGTCTTCACAGAATACCTTTGCCAGATTCTACAATTTGGACGTGTGGTCATTAGCCTCACAGGTCCTGTCTGTGAGTATGACCCATGGTTCTACCTGCAACCACTAGCCATTTGACTGTGCTGGTGGTTTCGACTAGGTCGTGTAGGGGGATCGGGGGCGGGGCCATCGTCATATTCAGACATCATATTCAGACTCTCAATAAGAGACCTGCCATCGGACATGGATTCTGAGTAACCTGATTGGATCCCTAAGCAGGAATCTACATCCAATCCCCTCGAGGCATGTCGCAGGGTCGTATTTGATTGGTAGGGGATTCATTTTAATGTCTTGCAAAAACTGTTCATGTTAGCTCCGCCGAGGCTGAGCCTTTTTACTTCGCTACTTCCACGGCGTTGTTCTATACAGTCCCCAAGGCGTTAACGCCATGTTGAGAGACTGTTCTCGAGAGGGAACGTCTCCGGTTACTGTCGTAACCTCGGTTCCCTGAGAGATAGGAACGAGACATGGCGTAGGCCGCGGTGTTCACTGCACAGGTCTGCTGTGCTGTTTATTCAGTCGGAAGATTCTGAGCTTATGCCGCCAATACGGCGCATTATATAGCGGCGGGGGGCCTGCCCCTATTCGCCGTCTTGGCTGGCATTGGCCAGTGAGAGTTGCAACTTCACTGGCGTTGTGCAATAAGATTGCAGGTAGGTTAGGAAAGAAGGGAGTCCCCAAGGCATTAACGCCATGTCTTGGGAACTGGGAACTGAGGTTACGACAGTAACTGGAGACGTAAAGGCTAGAAGGGATACGTATGGCGCTACTGGGCATGCGCACATCAATACAGTGTAATTTTTGTCACACTGTACAACAATAATTATAATTTTTTCATTCTTGTAAGGGGTAGGTTTAGGGTTGGGTAGGTATAGACGTTAATAAAACACAATCTAATAGGTAGAAAATTTTATTTCATTGTTTGTTTCCGGTCGGAGCACTGGGTGAATTTTTATCATTATATGGTAGATGTGTACACACACTGCCAACACACATTTATGTTCAAATGTAAAAGTGAATTTAGCATCCGATGACCCCTTGTGTTCTGAGTTTGTCACACTACAGAAAAATGCATTACTAACCACTCAGCCAAATTTGAATGATAAAAAAATCCACTAAGTACATAAAATAAGTTATCAAAATCTCGAAAAAATGGGCGGTATCCTCTGCTCTCAAACGCTGGGGGCATGTCCGCTGTCTGCGCTGAAACCACGCCCACTTGCAGGAAAGCTGCTGCCTCTTAATTGTCAAATACCGCTACAGCCTGAATGGATGCTCCTAGCAACTTAATTGGATTTACAAAGCCATACATGTTTGAGCCTTCAGAGCCAGAATCCAGTTCAGAGGACCGGTGTTATGAGATTTTCAGTTTCTGAGATATTCAGTTTCAGTGGGCGGAGCATACATGAATATTCATGAGTTTCCCAACATGCGCCTGGAACTGAGAATTTTAGTTTACGCTCTTGGCAGGTTTACTGGAATATTTATAAAAAGGTAAATATATTTTCAGCGCCCTAATGGGCCGTTCACACAAAGCGCATTTTTCCATTCTAATGCATTACTTTTCCATTGTTTTTCTATGTAAACACGCGCTTGACGGACATGCATGACCGTTACGCTCGCGTCTTTTGCAGCGCCTCACACGTGAGCACTGTGTTTTTAAGACACCATGTCAAGTTAAAAGAATTTAAACTTTTACACGCCACGCCGCTCATCAATGTCAGTTCCAAAGCAGTGGACCAATCAGAAGAATTTGGAGGTGGGGCAAGCGTTGCAAGCTTTTGTTTTCAGTAGCAAGTTGGCATAACAACTTTTATTTGATGGCAACATGGCAGAAGAGGCGCTCATAGTGGCTGTGCGGATACCCTGAATTATATAAAATTTCTTCAAGCGATTATCACAACTTGTTCCTTAAAAATGTCTGTTATTGCAGCATGTCTAAAAAGCGTGTCTCGAGACCCTTGCTTTCTATTCTGCACTTTTTAAAAAAACATTCCTGAGCGCTGCTTTATCTCTCGCGCTTTTAGAGGCAAAGACGCATTCTGTGGGAATGGTCCCTAAGGAAACAGGAACTAAACTCAGGAAGTGAAGACAGAAACACTGGGGCAGAGAAACACTTCAACATAAAAGTTCAGAGCAAAACACAAGAGACAGAACAGGGACTGAGTCTTTAATGGCCCCACAGGCAATGGCGTCCATTACAATGGAGTGACAGGTATATTATATCTATTCAAAAACTCTGAATAAGAACATAAGTAACCATTAGAATTTATTAATTGAGAAACCAGAATATTATTATTATTGACCTAATCTAGGAAAAACAAAGATTTATTTTTATAAAGAATATCACCATTAAGCCAAATAATATAACCGTGAGGACTAAAATTATGTTTATAAATTAGGTGCTATGCCAAAAGCACTTGTTTATGAAAATGTAATAATTTAAGGGGCAATTTAGTGATATTGTAATTACATATCAATAAAAAGGGATACCTCCCATCTAAGAATAAACAATATTAGGAAGAATATTTTACTAGGGATGAACTGCTGAACATTCGGCAGAACACACCACAAAATCTTCTACCGGATTTCGATTATTCAGACGTTTTGCTGAACACTGTAGTTGGGGGAGCAGCAGCGCTGATCAAACCTGGCTGAATGACGCCATTCCTGACAGCGCGCTACATCTGCCGGGCTTTCAGCTGTTCAGAGCGGACCACGACGCAAAATCAACGGGGAAATCACGTGGCGGCAGGACATGTTTCTATATCAACGAAAGGTGGTGTACAGTTGTAACAGTGTTAAAGAAGATGTGCTGTTCTGATCTAGAAGTGCTCTTCATTAACTGTAAGCCATTCTATTTGCCGCAGGCGTTCCACTCATTCATTCTCGTGAGTGTGTACATTCCACCGCTAGTGCACGTGAGCCTGGCTTTACAGAAACTCGCTGATCAGATCACAGACACTTGGGGACTTTAATAAAGCAAATCTTTCCCATGAACTGCCAAAATACAGACAGCACATTACATGTCCCACCATAGACAGCAATATATTGGACCATTGTTACACCACAATAATGGAGGCATATCACTCTGTCCAATGGGCAGCTTTGGGGCTCTGTGATCACTGTTTAGTTCATCTTATACTGACCTATACTGACCTACCTGTAAAAAGATGGACTTACGGGATTTACAAGCCTGTTTCAACCTCACTGATTGGAGTGTTTTTGAAGCTGCTGCCACCGACCTGGACGAGCTCACAGAGACAGTAACTTCTTATATCAGTTTCTGTGAAGACATGTGCATTCCTACCAGGTCTCATTTAACCTACAGCAATGACAAACCATGGTTCACTGCAAAACTCAGACAGCTCCATCAGGCCAAAGAAGATGCTCGCAGGAATGGGGACATATTCTTGTATAAACAGGCCAAATACACACTGGAAAAGGAGATCAGAGTGGCAAAGAGGAATTTTTCTGGAAAGCTAAGGAACCAATTATCTTCCAGTGACGCTGCTTCATTGTGGAAAGGTCTGAAAGACATCACCAATTACAAGACACCATCCCCCAGCACTGTGGAGAATCAACAACTGGCAGACGATCTGAATTAGTTTTATTGCAGGTTTGAAAAAACACCCCACACCCGCTCTGAACACCTCTCCACACAACCATTCACACCTCCTGCAACCCCCTTGCACTTCAGATCAGTGAAGATGATGTGCGTCAGGTCTTCAGAAAAAACAAGAGAAGAAAGGCACCAGGCCCAGACGGTGTGACACCAGCCTGTCTGAAAACCTGTGCTGACCAGCTGGCCCCCATCTTCACACAGATCTTCAACAGATCACTGGAGCGGTGCGAAGTCCCCTCATGCTTCAAGCGCTCCACCATCATCCCCGTCCCAAAGAAACCCAAAATTACTGTACTTAATGACTACAGACTTGTGGCTTTAACGTCTGTGGCCATGAAATAATTTGAAATACTTTTTGAAGGTTTTGGCTTATCTGAAGGACATCAATGGACCCTTACTGGACCCCCTGCAGTTTGCCTACAAAGCAATCAGGTATGTGGATGATACAGTCAACATGCATTATATTCTACAACATCTAGACAGACCAGGGTCTTATGTGAGGATCCTGTTTGTGGATTTCAGCTGTGGAGCTGGCTGTCTGGTGCAGTCTTAACAACCTGGAGCTTAACACGCTCAAAACTGTGGAGATGACCGTGGACTTCAGGAGAAACCCCCCTGCACTCCCCCCACTCACCATCGTAGACAGCACTGTAACGACAGTGGAGTTATTCAGGTTCCTGGGCACCACTATCTCTCAGTGGTGTTAGCTAGAACTACTAACTAACAGTTCTACTCCACCATCATTGAATCCGTCCTCTGCACTTCAATAACTGTCTGGTTCAGCTCAGCTACTAAATCTGACTTCAGAAGACTACATCAGATAGTCCAGACTGCTGAGTGAATCACTGGTACAACCCTCCCTACTCTCCAAGAACTGTACTCATCCAGAGTGAGCAAAAGGGCTAGCAAAATCACTCTGGACCCCTCACACCCAACACACTCCCTCTTTGAACTGTTGCCATCTGGTCGGCGCTACAGAGCACTGAGCACCAGAACGGCCAGACACAGGAACAGTTTCTTTCCTCAGGCAATCCATCTCATGAACACTTAACAATAAACGTGGAACACAACACTATTATACATTATTTATTTTACACACATACTTATTTACATTTCAAATTTGCACATATCATACCTGTACATACATAATTGTATATATTATGTATTGTGTTTTGGTATTTTGTACATTGTCTATTTTGTATATTTGTATATTATTCTTTTTATTATCTTGTCTTGTCACTGTCATTCTGTTGCACTGTGCCACATGATGACCTTTCACCTGATGATTTCATCCAGGACAATCCCTTACGTTCAGACACCTTTAGTAATTTAACAGACTGTAATTTAAGACTGTGCTGAAAGCAGCTAATGGTCATCATATCATGTAAATCATTGGAAAATGAATAGACTGACCAAGAACACACATGTGCTGACGCTGTTTGTTTACAACGGACATTGAGGACGTGCAATGAAATTCCAAGGACAACGGTTTCACCTAAAAATCTTCTTTACTGTTCTACTAAAGAAAAAAAATCACCTAGCTATATATACATCTTAAATGGCCTGGGGGTGAGTAAACTAAAAGCAAATTTTCATTTTTGGGTGAACTATCCCTTTAAGAACTCACATTCTTGAAAGGAATGTTCTTAAAAATCATCATGTATAGGGAATTACAATTAAACCTCACAGAGACACCAGTATGCTCAATGAAGACCAGGAGTCAAATCTGAAGTTCAATCAGTTGACATAGAGTTTAGTGAAGAAGACTAAGACTGTGAGTTCTCCACACTTCCAAGGACCGTAGAAAATGAGTAAGAGGAGCAGTTGACATCATTTCTACAGGTATTGACAGGTTAACAGTAGACAACAGGCAATATCTTTCAATGTTGAGCTGCAGGACTTCACTGAGACCTGATCACCTAGAAAAAGGAGAAATTAACCAAAAAAGCAATCTTGTGATAAAAGTATTATAACACCAAAAAAAAGGAAAGGTATCCATAGTTCTTAAGAAGTTATGTCAAGAGGATCCAGATATGGAGCTCCATCAGGTGCCTTCAAGTTCTGGCTGAGCACAATCATGATACGTTTCCAGTTGGTGCATGCTACCTTTGGTACAAAACAGTAAATAACACCATGACGATCATCCACAATGAGATGGTCAAGAGCTTTGTTTGGAATCTTGTCAAATGTGATAAATTTCTCTGTAAAATTCAGGCTACTATTGGCCAAGCAAAGCTCTCGTATAATATGTCTACGATGTTCTTGACGCATTTTGAGGTGTGTGACATCAGTTTGTAAGGATAAAAAGGATAAAAAGCTAGGTTAGAATCATGGAGTCTACATTTAACATACAATAAAAAAAAGTTTAAATCATGCCAAAGATGTTTATCTATGTAACCAAAACTACTTTTGTATTCTTAAAGAATGAGGAACCTACAAAGTCATAGGCGCGGGAAGTGGGGGTGCTGAGGGTGCTGCAGCACCCCCTGTTTTTGTTTCTGTGGGCAACTGTTTAACTGTTGGGAATAAAAATTAAATAAAAATCGGAGTGTCTATTTACACTAAGTGCAAATAGTCCACCTTGTTGGCAGAGGCTATTTACACTAACTCCACCCACCAAACGTGTGATTTTGATAGTCAACATTACAAAAGACGGTAAACACTCAACAAATTCAGTGGTGTAGATGGTAAGCATGTGTTCTAGGCTACTCCTTTTGACGCCATTGACCCGGGTTCGAATCTGCCTTTCGGCTAATTTTTCAAATTTCAAATCGCATCAGAAAAGCATTTATTTTTAATAAAAGTGAAGGAAATAATAAAAAAGTTGAAAATAAAGTATCGGTTAGGGTATAGGTGTAGGGAGGGCTTTTGTCCCAATAAGGTGGCATCCATTTAATAATTGGAATTATAATTAAAATTTACACTCAATAAGTTATTATTGCATACTGTTTTATAATGTATAACAATGCTGAGGTGCAGAAAATTGCCACTATTTGCAATAAGTTATTAGCAGAATATCCTGCTATTTTAACATAGTATAAATAATCTATAGCTACATTTTCACTTAGTGTAAATAGCATCTATCACCCCCAACCTAAAACATCTTCCCACACCCCTGTACAAAGTTGTTACAATTGACACAAACATTGTGAGAATGCAAACTCAACCTACCCGTTTGTCAACTTTACGTTGATTTCCTTAACATCTAAAAGGTCAATTGTGAATTTGAAGAATCAGTAACGTTAATCAGGTGTGTCCTGAAGATTATCTGTCCAAAATTATATTAAGATTGGACCAATTTAATAAACACACACATGCACACACACACACATACACACACACACACAAACACACATATACAGTATTTTTGCATGTGGCCTTGAGGTAATCTAGAAACAGATAGAGCAATCAGTGATGCTGTTTTTCAGAATCAGAATGAGCTTTATTACCAAGTATATTTACACACACAAGGAATTTGACTTGGCGACAGGAGCTTCCAGTGCAGAAGTACACACATAGTGCAACATACATGATAGTGCAGACATACAGAGAATTACAGTAATTAGACAGTAGACAGTATTTAATCACTCATGCAGAAGTGCCTCAGGTTTGTCATATTCAAATAATCTAAAGTCTGTTTCATAAAGATGGTACAGTTTTCTCCTGTCAGCTACTGAAATGTTAGCAAACCAGTCTCGCTCCCAGTCTACTGCTGTCCTATTCTCATACCCTGGGGGAAAGTGAATATAATTATCAAGCCCAAGAATATTCAACAAATGTTCTGTATCCTCATCAAGTGTTTCCAGTTTCCCAACAAAGTCATACTCAATTTGGCACGGATGGCAGAGTCTGTATATCTGCTGCCAATGCTCATTGAAAGGCTTCTCCTTTTCAGTCTGTGGATCTAACAGGTACTTAATGAAGTGAGTAAAGGACAATCTGATACCTGCGGCGAAGGCTTCTTGAACGGAGTCAGGGGTCTTTGAAATATTTGCATAACGCTGAAGCATTGTGGAGCCATACATATTGTAGAAATACTCATCTGGCTTAACAAACTTGTCTCGGAAAGCAGAAATAAGTCGTACAAAAGGATCCCGTACAAAAAGGAATTTTGTGTAATTCTTCAGTTTGTGATGCAACAAAGGACGTGAGTAACGTCCAAAACGTCTCCAAAGCTTGTTAAACGTCTTATGCACTGTAGAATTATGGACTACCTTTAATGGTATGTCAAGAGGATCCAGATATGGAGCTCCATCAGGTGCCTTCAAGTTCTGGCTGAGCACAATCATGATACGTTTCCAGTTGGTACATGCTACCTTTGGTACAAAACAGTAAATAACACCATGACGATCATCCACAATGAGATGGTCAAGAGCTTTGTTTGGAATCTTGTCAAATGTGATTAATTTCTCTGTAAATTTCAGGCTACTTTTTGCCGAGCAAAGCTCTCGTATAATATGTCTACGATGTTCTTGACGCATTTTGAGGTGTGTGACATCAGTTTGTAAGGCCGTTTGCAGGTAAAAAGTCCCATCTCTTCTTGCATCCCAGCAAATTATGAAGAATGTGATCAATACTGTTCCCAAAAGAAAGAAACACTGAAGCTGTCGCTTCATTCCCATTTTCTTCTATAGCAGTTCCTCAAAATAAACTGAATGCCAGAATGTATTTACTCAGAAATGGATCAAGTCGAGAATTCTGGGGGAAAACACAAAAACAAAGACATGTATGTTTAAGTCACACTGTAAAAGGGTTGCTGTACATTTTACAGTAATTTACTGGCAGCTGGATGCCAGTAAGTTACTGTAAAAGTATTTACAGTATCCTTACTGTAATTTATTTTTACAGGACAAATTCCATATACCGTATTTCATTTACAGTATGAATACCGTATTTTCATTTTCAGTATTAATACCGTATTTTAATTTACAGCATGAATGCCATATTCACAATCTACCATCACAAAATATAACCCATCACTCACCCCCTTACTTGCCCCCTGTACTGTACATTTCAAAATGTTCCACATGAAAACTGTTGATTTGGGGGCAGTCATGGCCTAATGGTTAGAGAGTTGAGTCTCGATACCGGCAGGGATTGTAGATGGTGGGAGTAAATGTACACCACTCTCCTCCACCTTCAATACCACGACTGAGGTGAGACCCTTCAGCATGGCACTGAACCCCCAACTGCTGCCCGGGCGTTGCAGCAAAAATGGCTTCCCACTGCTCCGGGTGTGTATTCACGGCGTGTGTGTGTGTGTTCACTACTCAAAGCTGTGTGTGTGCACTCTGATGGATTAAGTGCCGAGCACAAATTCTGAGTATGGGACACCATACTTGTCACTTTATATCTTCCATTAGAAGTGCAGGACTCCTTTAAGTTACACATCTAAACTCTATATATGTATATGTAATATAGACGTACGTACATAAATAGGAAATGTTTTGTTAGACTATATACAGTATATATTATAGAATATACTACACACTCCCACGATTTTAGTTTTTAAAATCTAAAATGAGCAGCCCATGTTAACTTGATAACAAACAGATAACTTGAAAGTAACATAACCCTGAATTTATCACTGTTAAAGCATAAAGCATAAACAACACACCATATTAGAATGTTATCTGAGTTACTTCTTAAAATTAAAATTTACTCATTATTTACTCACCCTCAAAAGTAGGCTATCTTCTCATTCTTGTTCTAGTGCCTTATGCTCTTCTTCTTTTTTTTGAACCACAAAAGAAGGCAATGTGTTCGTGTCGTGCTTTTATTTGACTTCTAGGGCGCTTGTGTGCTTTTTCTGGGCGAGCCTGAGTAAACGACTCCTTTCTTTTTTTCTTTCTTCTTTCTTTTATTTACTTATTGAGCACTTTTACACAACCGACTATTGACCAAAGTGCTGTACAAAATGTAAACACATAATAAAACAAACATTACGTCTCAAATATAAAACACAAAAACCACAAATAAAATGACAGTGAAATAAACTCCACAATTTTAATATACAGAGAAATGTCTATACCCCATTAAATGCTAATGCAATGAAGTGTTCCTTAAGCTTGTTTAAAACCCCTTTTTTAGTGTAGGAGCTAATCTGAGAGAAAACGGTAATTCATTCCAGAGTTTTGGCGCTATCGAAGAATTTTACTAAATATTTATTTATAAAGTTTTTTTCTATGAAGTAAAAATGCATATAATGCAGTTAACAATACATGTAAAAGTGAATACGTAAAAGTTAATACATTTTAAATTGTTATTGTAAGTAAATTAATAAATCAAAACAAACTTAACGTCTCCCTCAATGTCATTTGCGTAAGAATTATCATGTGACGAATCTGCATTTTGGTGGATAATAGACTTAACGGTAATGCTTGCCTGTTGTGTGGAATAAAATGATGTTCCGCGTTTTTAATAACACACACGAATTGCAGAGAAATCTGGAGACAACGAAAAACTCAGATGAAGATATTAATGCCGTGCTTGATGATTACGGACCCGGACAATCAGATAAAGGTGATCCACAGGACGCAGCCGGTTAAGCCGCATACTACTTTTATGCCAACCATTTACATCCAAATGTTATTTAATTTTCACAGAACACAACCTTTAAATAGATTTTACAATATAAACTGTTTATCGTCTATTCCAGGGATCCTCAAATCTGGCCCACGAGATCCCCTTTCCTGCAGAGTTTCACTCCAACCCTAATCAAACACACCTGAGCATATTAATCAATGTCTTCGGGATCATTAGAAAATCACAGGTAGGTGAGTTTGGTCAGGGTTGGAGCTAAACTCTGCAGCGCATTGGCCCTCCAGGGCAAGATTTGAGGAACCCTGGTCTATTCAATAAGACTAAATAAAAAGTATGCGAATCAAGCCCAACAAATATCTGTTTTATAAACAGTGGATGAGTAATTCACTCCTTGATTTGCTTAATAAAACCCTCCTTTGAGATTGTTTTGACAGACATGTTTATTGTGCATTTTTAACGTGTTTATTACTAAGTTTAGTGTGGCAAAATAGAAGTGCAGCTGTAATTCGTGGGCAATGTATGTGGTTACCATGACAACCTCACGCACTTGCCACTGCTCTATGTGAATATGTAGATTTACTATAGCAAAACTAAAATGTGTTTAAAAGTACATCTGACCAAATCCACCGGTTCGTTTTGGCCCCCCCAAACTCAAACGTCAAGCTATGCCTATGGTAAAAACTATATTAGGTAAGATAGGTTATTGGCTTATTGATTGTTTTGTTGTGTGCCTGTAATCAATCAAGCAAAACGTTACAGACAATTTATCATATTACACAAACTATGCATTGTTTTGGCACTGTTGCAGTTAATGCTAATTAATGTGTAACATTGACACTTCATTACTGTTGTGATACGTAATATGTGGTGTTACGCAATACGTACATGCGTGTACCGGAAGTATCTGTGTAGTTGAACATGTGTTGAGCACCTAGTAAAGAAGTTCAAACCAACTTATAATGATGTCCAGTAA